TAATATAAGAATTCGCTTTCTCCCCGTGCCCCATCTTTGTCTCCATGAGTTGCTGCAGGAGCCTGCTGGCTGTAACCGAGTCCTTCGGTTGATAAACCTCAACGAGGTGCTTCCAGGCTTCCAAGGCTGGAGCGGCGCTCTCTTTGTAGGAGCGGATGCTTAGTTGCTCTGCAGGCGTCATGTTGCGTAGCAACACGCTATACGCCATGAGGGACTCGCTGTAGTACTGAGCCCTGGCGTCGTCGGTGTCGTCCACCGGTTTAGGATAGGAGCCGTCGAAGTAATGGTAGATCTGCGCTGTCTGTAGGAGGAGCTCAAGCTCAAAACTCCATGTATAGAAATCCTTGCCGTCGAAGGCGGCGGTAGTCTTGATTTTTGAAACGCTGGGGAAGCGTGCTTGCGCAGAGTTAATGACTTCATCACTTGGACGGGGGGCAGTTGTTGTTGATTTGTCTGTGTCGATGGAGAAGGTGTGCGCGGCGGTATCACGGCTTTTCGTTGCCGGTTGTCCAGGTTGAGCTGGATGGGAGGAGGTTCCCGCATCGCCTTTGCGCAAATCTTGGAGTTCTTTCTCCATAGTTGAAAGTCGAGCGAATAACTGCTCGAGTGCGGCAGTGCCGATCGTAGTTGTTGCCTCATTTGTTGGAGCCGGGTTGGTTTGTACTTCAGCCGTCATATTAGCTTGGCCTCCGGATCCTCCGGCCATCTTGGTATTGGAGCGTGTGCCGCTCGCCAGATCTTGGTTCGGCGAATTTCAAGGAATTGATGATGCGAAGAATCCCTGAGTAGCTCTCATACCATGTTACAATCCCAAGTGGGACTTAGCGAAGGATCGCTCAGGGTTGATCGCAGAGTAGTGTTGCAGCGGAAGTTTGAATCTCAGGTCAGAGTGAATGTAAATGACTGAGTTGATAAAAGCATGCATACATCGGGTTTATATAAGAATACAAGAGAATACGAAAGGACCTAGACTAGCCATGTACTCTAAGGGGTACATTCTCTTATTGCAGCGAAATTCAAACCGTGCGGCGCGGGAACCCGTTTCAAACCTGTTCCCGCTCTTTTCACTTCAAATGTTTCTGCCTGCATCGGTCTTGGTCAGACGGTTGCTGCGTCGCTTCGACTCTTCTGACTCCTCGACTTCGTACTCGGTAGAGTCGGCTCCTGCAGCATACATGCATGCCTACTCATGTAATTTCATATCGTTACACGGGTGTAGAGATTGCGTTTAGTACGCTTGTCGTGGTGGGTCCCCTACGTTTTGTGCTCTGGCATTCTCTGGTTGCATCGTCCTGCCGTGCTCTCACCCTCTTCCCATCCCCGATTGCTTGAAAACAATTAATAGCAGTAATAATAAATCAACAGAACATCACATGATATGGATTTTGTTGCGGAACCTCATATACAATGAAAATAATAATTCTGATGAGTACTGTAATAGGCAAGTCAGCCTGATTTCCATGGTGCACGGCACACCCCTTTTAACTATGATGTCATTCGCCATTAACTATACTTGGTATCCCTTTCAAGAAAACAATAACGGATGGACCTTGTAGCGATTCAAAACGTCGATTCGACACACCTCGCCGATTCCGGTGGTCGTCGTGCTGCCGAATCAGGACTTGATTTGGAGGTGGAGGATGTGGTTGGTCCGCTGCCTTCCTCCAATCCGTCGCACGCGAATTCCCCAAGCTGCCCTGGGCTTCAATTTCAAGTCGAAAACATCCAGCTGTGCCCTGGCCAAATGAAACGGGGAAGCGTCCCTGACGATGGCAGACTTCCCTTGCGACCCCACAGCCCCGTGTCCTCGATTGTCGGGTGCATTTTTTCAGCATTACTGTGGATATTTGCAGAAATATCGGGTCTGGTCCTGGACTCTTGTAGAAACTGATGGCGAGGGGCGGGCAAGTATCCACAGCTGCCCTTGATTGAGTTGCTCGCCAGATTCAGCTTGCTGCCGTGGCCTCGTTCAGCACGCTCTGGCGTAAAAAGTGGGGCTAGGGGGGGAAGTTGGTAACGAGCGCCAAGCGGCAGCGTGTACTGTAAACAAGTTTCTTACAGGAGAGGTGACAGCGAAATCCCGATCCGAACCGACCCCCGAGAATGGTGTTTGAGGGGGGAAGTGAATCATTTCAGGAGAGAGAGGCCTGGTTGGATTCTTGTTGGCTCACCTCACCTCACCTCCCCTTCCCTTGCCTCGCCTCGCCTCGCCTCGCCTCACCTCGCCACGCCACCGTTGGTTCGTTGTAGTGTTGCAGCAGACAGGCTGGTCGCGCGTGCTATTCAAAAGCTGGCTTCGCCCCCCAGAAAGCTATCAACTTCGAGCTTCTGTGCCGAAATTGGCGCTCTGCTCCCTGGGACGATCGACTTATCTTATTGACTCGAGATAAGAGTACGATAAGCAAAGAAGTCTGACACTTCAACTTTAGCACCTTCGCGAGTTTACTCTTCTCCCCGTCTGTTGCGAAAGGCCTTCCGAACAGAAATGGCCCTCAGTTACGGAGACAGCAGGCCCGCCTCGAACTTAGACCTCACGGCGCTCCTTTCTTCCAACACCTCGGGCTTCCTCCCGGCGGAGTTTTTGCAGAATAATTTCGATTTCATGGGCAGCATCGGGCAGGGCCAGTACGGGCGCGTGTGGAAGTGCCAGTCGCAGCGCTCGGGTCGCTACTACGCGTGCAAGCAGATTAAGAAGACGCGGCTCACCAACGGGCGTATCCAGGCCGTGCTTCAGGAGATCGCGACGATGCAGCGCCTACGTGGCCATCAGAACGTCGTGGATCTCGACAGCGTATACGAGGACGCCACGTCGGTGTTTCTGCTCATGGAACTCCTTCCATCCGGCGACCTCTTCAACCAGATCTCGACGCGCAGCGGCCTTCCCGAGCCTGAGGCTCGGGACGTGTTCCGAGCCGTCGCCGAAGCTGTGAGGCACTGCCATGGGAACGGCATCGTGCATCGGGATATCAAGCCTGAGAATATCCTCCTGCGCGCGCGCTCAACACCTATTGCTGATTCGAATGGCGGTTCTAACGAGCAATGCGTGCTGGCGGGAGGCGGCGAATCATCAACGGCAGAAGCTCTCGATTGCGGGTGCCTGCCGGGATTCGAATGGGACGTGAAGCTGGGAGATTTCGGCCTCGCTAAGCGCATCCCCGATAGCGGCACTGTCAAGGGTTGCGTCGGAAGCTTCCCGTACGAGGCTCCCGAGGTTCTCGCGTCGCAAGAGTACGACTTTTCCGCGGATATGTGGAGCCTGGGCGTGCTCTTATACGCGATGCTATCGGCTAACTGGCCCGAGTTTAAAGACAACAAGCGCGTCCTCGATGAATCGAGAGACTGGACTCATCCTGTATGGGGCCTGGTCAGCGACGCGCCGAAGCAGCTCATCCGTCGGATGATGTCCGTGGACCCGAATCAACGGCCGACGATCGACGAGGTCCTGGAGAACGAGTGGTTTTCGCAAGAGTGTGTGGACGTCCTGTGCCCATCCACGTATCATACCGACAACCAGCAAACAACAGAATCCGCCATCCTCCCCGCCTACTCCGATTCCACCGCTCCGCTCAACTTCGCTCCCGAGACATTGTCCGACCGTCAAAACGCGACGGAAATCGCAGCGCCAGTGCCGGCAGCACACGCAGCAGCAGCAGCAGCTGCTGCGGCGGCGGCGACGGCGGCGACTCAACCGCATCTCCTCAACGCCATGGGGGATTTCTCCGAGGAGGTTTGCTCCATGCCGGACCCTCCTCTCACCCCAGCAGGACTCGCCACTATTTCGTCCTTTTCAAGCAGCACCAGCAGTGCCAGCAACAGCAACAGCTGCTGCAGCAGCGATGCGTGCAGCTTCTGTGCGCAAGCGCGCGAATCTGGTAACGCGCAAGGCAATTTCGCCGTGCGTCGAGTTCGCACTTTAAACCAAGAGGCTTCGGACGTTGCTAACGAGGAGGACAGGGATTCGACCTGTGTTACCGGGAGCATCGCCGGAGCGGAAGGCGCGGGCGAGAAAAACGCGGTCGATCCGGCACAGCAGCAGGAGGAGCGCGGCCTCAGTGAGAGGAAGCGGCGGACAAGCGGACGGTTCGGCAGCCTATCCGGATGGGCCGTGTCCAGCCTCTGGGGTGCACCAAACTCCGCGCCGGCGACCGACGCGCCGCAGCAACAGACCGAACGCTTTAACGAGTGCTCTTTTCCCCTCCCGCTGCTGCGGTTGAGGTGATTTTTTTACCAGATGAGCCATGGCTAGGCTGTGGGATTTTTTTTTTTTCTTTTTTTTTTTTGGTGGATATAAGTATACAACATGCATACAGACATCCGCAGTCGTAACTGATTCTAGGAGGGCAAGATATTTACACATCACCCCCCCTTATCCACTCTACGGGGGCTGAAAGGCCACCCCGCCATCCTCCCAGATTGCTTTGAAACTCGGTGGGATTGTGGGATTTTTGTGCTTTGTGCGTGTTGATGCAAGCAAATGGACAACCGTGCTCCTGCGCCATGTTTATTCCTCAATGTACAGTAATCGTAAATTTGTAATCAAACCATTAATAAAACTCCTAGTTCATTCCTAACCTGCAGTACAACAGGAGCTTCACCCTCCACCATCCAGATGGTTCTTGAATTGTAAACCCAATCATCTCCAGTATCTGTAGTATGTACATGTCCGAACACTTGTCAATAAAGGAAAACATAACCATGTCTGAGATTAGGAGGAGCCTGCACCGGAGATGATAAATTTACAGATTATCGTCTCGTCACCCCCGCACATTGGAATCCAACACAGTGCCTCACAGCCATCTATTGAAAGCAAAACTAGATGCTGTTCCTTACCACACATAACCGATTGCGAAATACGTCAGCAAGAGCCTCATGCGTACAGCACCCCATGTGTGTTCAAGAATTCCTAATCACGATCATCTCAACACGATATAAGGTTCCAGCTACCCGGCACACCGCATCTTGCAAGGATCATGCATCATGTCATGCGTCATGCAATATGTTCATGCTGATAAGGGCATGGAGTGCATGCGCGCTGCAAGCTCATAGATGTGCTGGGGCCAGTTGCGGTGCAGCGTTCCTGCCACCAGATTCAGAACCTGCACAAGGAAGAAAGGTTACCAGATGATGGATGGACAAAGGGTTGAGAGAAGTTGAGATGTCTTGAAACTAGATAGAGACGATGTAAGCTCTGATGAGGAGCGGGAAAGGGAGTGGTTGAGGTGAAAGAGGGAGCGCGGCGAGGTAGAGGCAGGGGGAACGGGGTGAGACAGGAGAGAGAGGTGACCAAATATATGCCCTTGGAAACAGGCACAACAGTTGAAAACCGAACCACCTACCGTCCTTCCTTTTTCCCCCCCTCCCCTCCCCCCTTCTCCCTTCCCTTCTCCTCCCACCCCTTCCCCCATCAACTCACATTATTCCTCAGTGCCCGCACGTTCGGGTCAGCATCGGGGAGCCGGTCCAGGCACGACAGCACGTCCTCCAGCAGCTTCGGCAGCCGGTCCTCCACGGCTCGGTGCAGGCTCGGCAGCACGGCAGCGCAGGCAACAGGGGAGCGGCCGGCAAAGGGCAGGAAAGGGAGGCCGGAGAGGTGCTGCAGTGCGGAGGGGAGGCGCGAGGCGGCATAGTCGAGGTAGAAGTGGAAGATGGACTCCAGCTGTCGGAACGCCACCTGCTGCTCTGCGAGAGATGAGCGGTCGGGGAAACTGCGATGGAAAATGGGGAGGGGCAACGCGGGGAGGCGAGGAGGGAGGGGAGATAGGGAGCGGAGAGAGGGGGGGGGGGGGGGGGGGGGGAGTGCAGGGGTTGGTGGTTGGGATGGGAAAAAGTGGGAAGGATGAGAGTGTTGTGTTGGGTAAGGTTGTAGAGGAAAGGTGCTGCAGTGCTGAGGGGAGGCGCGAGGCGGCGTAATCGAGGTAGAAGTGGAAGATGGACTCCTCTTGGTGGAAAGATTGAAATCACTTTTGAGAATTAGTGATTTCAGATGGACTCCAGTTGGCGGAACGCCACCTGCTGCTCTGCGAGAGATGAGCGGTCGGGGAAACTGCGGGCAGGAATGCGGGGGAGGGGGGGGGGAGGGGGGAGGAGGATGGGGAGGGGGAAGGCAGGGAGGGAGGGGGAAAGGGGGGGAGCGGATGCGGGGAATGGTGGTTGGTGGGGGGTTGAAAGGATGAAAGTGTTGCATACGGTTGCAAGGGAAAGGTGTGAAGCCTTTGGAGGGGAAGAGCGAGGCGGCACAGTCGAGGTAGCGGAAGCCAGACATACAGAGTCCTGTAAATCTGTGGCCCTGCTGCCCCTGCCTCCCTACCGCCTCACCTCCTCCCTGCTGCTGCTTCCCCTGCCCCTGCCCCCTCACCCCAACCCTGCCCCCTCACCCCAACCCTGCCCCCTCACCCCAACCCTGCCCCCTCACCCCAACCCTGCCCCCTCACCTCAACCCTGCCCCCTCACCTCGCCACGTCCTCTCACCTCGACCCTGCCCCCTCACCTCCCCCCCGTCCCCTCACCTTGCGCCCGCAGGCAGCGCAGCAGCAGCAGTGCCGGCGGCAGCAGCAGTGGCAGCAGGGGGAGCCTCCCCAATGATCTGGTTCCCCAGCGCCGCATGCCCTGATGCTGCCCTCACTGCTGCGCTGTCCGTGCTGCCCTCGTTGCTGCACTGTAGCACCTAACCTTGAGCGACCTAAAACCCTGCCCCTGCTGCCTTCTCTTGCCCCTACTGCTCCCCTCCCCCCTCCCCCCTGGCCCCTGCCTCACTTCGCCCCTGCCCCCTCACCTCGCCCCCGCAGGCAGCGCAGCAGCAGTGGTGCCGGCGGCAGCAGCAGTGGCAGCAGGGGGAGCCTCCCCAATGATCTGGTTCCCCAGCGCCGCATGCCCTGATGCTGCCCTCACTGCCGCACTGTCCGTGCTGCCCGCCCCTGCTGCTGCCGCCACCGCTGCCAGCGCCTGGGAGAAACGGTCGTTCACTAGGAGCAGAGCAGCGGCAGGGGCACGCGCCCACCGGTACAGGTGTATGGCCTGGTGGGATGCGGTGGGTGGGGGTAGAGTCAAGATAAGAAAGAGGTTTCTTGGAGTAGGAGCAACGGTTGTTTCCAGATATAAGGGCAGCGGCAGGGGCACGGGCCCACCGGTAGAGGTGTATGGCCTGGTGGGATGGGGTGGGGATGGGGGGGGGTGTGTGTGTGGGGAGGGGAAGGGAGGGCACAAATGGTGAGGGTAGAGACGACGAGAGACGATGGGTTTTTAAAAGGTAAGAGAAGCAGTTGTTTATGGGAAGGGCAGCGGATGGGGCATGGATGGACCCGACCCTCTTCCTTAACCCTCTTTCCCCGACATTTCTCCGCCGACGCTCTTCCCCGGAACCTCTCCCGTCCACTCCCCGGGCTCACCTCCTCGTCCTGCCCCATGTCTTGACAGTCCTTCGCTGCTCCCAGCACCACCTGTCTCTGCGCCCCCTCCTCCCCCACGAACCGCGCCAGCGACCCCCCCCCCTCTCCCCACCCCTCCCCCTCCTCCCCCGTCCGCTCCCCCCACCCCTCCCCCACTCCCCAGCAGCTCCTCAATCCCCCTCTTGCTCCTCAGCACCTCTCTCACAGTCGCCTCCATCACAGTCGCCCTCCGCCTCCTCTGCTCCCTCGTTGCGCCCCCTCCTCCTCGCCCCGCGCCCCCTCCCCCAGCAATCACATCAGCAGCCACTGCAAAGTATTCTAGAGCCGTACGCACATCACCGGCTCTCAGAAACACAGATACAGCATACTTGCGAATAATCCCTGCTATATCAGCCTCAGCATCAACAACAGCCCCTGCTCCCCCTCCCCCTCCCGCTCCCCCTCCCGCTCCCCCTCCCCCGTCCGCGCCGTCCCCCCTCACCGCTCCCCCTCCTCCTCCCCCCGCCCCTCCTCGCATCGCCAGCTGTAAGCCTCCAGAGTGCGCCAGGGCAATCCCTAGGTGCACTGCATCTACAACGTCAATACTCTCCAGGTGGTATACCACCGCTGCGTGCAGCTGCAGGCTCAGCAGCAGCACGTACGGGTAGACCAGTGGGTCTTTTCCGTTCTTGGTGTAATACGATGGGTCGAAGCGGGAGAGGTAGGCCTGTAGATTCTCTAAAGTGCAATACACACCGCTGTTCGCAGCAGCAGCGGCAGAAGCAGAGGCAGCGTCGGCGCCCGAAGCACCCCCGAATCCGCCCATCCACCCGCCTCCGTCGCGCCCGGAAAAGGCGAGGCCAGAAGGGGAGGCTTGGGAGCGAGGGGAGGGGTCGGTTTGGCGCAAGATAGCAAGATGGAACCACATGAAATCTTCTATGGTTGGGAAGAGGGATGGAGCTTCACGCAGGAGTCGATCTGCTAAGGCTTTCCGGCCTGAGATGAGGACATAGAGAAGGAATTTACGGCGATCTACCCCTCCTGCTGCTCCCCCTGCTGCTGCGCCTGTGAAGGACGCTCCTGGGCGGGATAGAGAGGAGTGGGATGCGGTTCGTGCCATGCGGTCGCACTCGTCTGCTGCTGCTGCTGACGTGGCAGGGTCGATTGAGCCGTTGGATGAGAGCCACGTGGCAAGCTGATAGGGCGGGCAAGAATAGAGGTTGGGGATGGGGGGGTGGATATAGGGAAGCAAAATAAGGTCAAGGAGGGGGGAGAGGGGGAGGGATGGGGAGGACGGGCAGGAGGTGAACAGGAAAACGTGTAAGAGATAGGCAAAGGGTATGTGCGTGGCAAGAGAAGCAGCAGCGTAGCAAGAGCAGCCTGAAAGAGGGCGAGTAACATAAGGTAAAAGGCAAAAGGGTATGTGCGTACCAAGGGGGCAAAGGGTATGTGCGTACCAAGGGGGCAAAGGGTATGTGCGTACCAAGGGGGCAAAGGGTATGTGCGTACCAAGGGGGCAAAGGGTATGTGCGTACCAAGGGGGCAAAGGGTATGTGCGTACCAAGGGGGCAAAGGGTATGTGCGTACCAAGGGGGCAAAGGGTATGTGCGTACCAAGGGGGCAAAGGGTATGTGCGTACCAAGGGGGCAAAGGGTATGTGCGTACCAAGGGGGCAAAGGGTATGTGCGTACCAAGGGGGCAAAGGGTATGTGCGTACCAAGGGGGCAAAGGGTATGTGCGTACCAAGGGGGCAAAGGGTATGTGCGTACCAAGGGGGCAAAGGGTATGTGCGTACCAAGGGGGCAAAGGGTATGTGCGTACCAAGGGGGCAAAGGAGCGGGCGGAGCGGGAGTTCTGTGCGACGTGCAAGGCATCGTTGGTGAAGCCCGAGCGCAGACAGTAGAAGATCTGATAGAAAAGGGGGGGGAAGGGGAGGGGGTTGGGGGAGGGGTAGCTATATTGGGGTCACTACACATTGGGTCTGTGCGACATGGTGACTTTTGAGTCGACTCAAAAGTCTGTGCGACATGCAAGGCATCGTTGGTGAAGCCCGAGTGCAGACAGTAGAAGATCTGCTCAAAAAGAGGGAGGAGGGGGGGGAGGGTTGTGGGGTGAGGAGGGAGGGGAAGAAGGTCGGAGGATGGAGGGGCGAGGAGTGGGGGATGCAACAGACGTCAGCAATGCTTTGCAGCTTGTTGTGCTGATGTGGTTGGAGACTTTTGAGAAATCTCATATGTTGGTCCTTTTCGGTAGAGGTGGAAGAGGATTAAGAAGCGGTAATGCATTGCTAATGGATGTATGGATGTATGGATGTAGTGGCAGCGGTGGAGAGGGGTTTGTGAGAGGAAACACAGCCATGCTTCCAAGACAGGGCAACGCTACCCGGATTGTGCTGCTACCGTGTCGCTGGCTTTCAAAAACCCTCACATACCAGCTGTTACCATGCTTGCTGCATCGCTCGTCACAAGCACCGCACCATCCATCCACCCACCCCTCTCACCACCCCTCCACGCCCATCCATGCTCGCACCTGGTGCCACGTGGTGTCGAGGGGAGGCAAGCGAGTCGTGGGTGTGTCGTCAAAGTCCAGAGGACCCTGGTCCTGCTGCATCCTACCCAACCCACCACCCACCACCCACCACCCACCACCCCACCCACCACCCCATCCACCCACCCCTCCACACCCATCCATGCTCGCACCTGGTGCCACGTGGTGTCGAGCGGAGGCAGACGAGTCGTGGGTGTGGCATCGAAATCCAGTGGGCCCTGGTCCCGCAGCCGCACCTGATGGGCACAAGGGGCGAGGGAGCGGGAAAAACATAGAGGCAGGGAGGGAGGAGGGAATAACGGATTGATACGTTGGCGTGACATCAAAGTCGAGAGGGCCCTGGTCCCGCAGCCGCACCTGATGGGCACACAGAGAGCGAGAGAGTGATATGATAGGTGGGAGGTGGCGGAGGGGGGACGGGGGACGGGGAGGAGGGAGAGGAGGGAAGGAGATGGGGCCAGGGAAATGGGGAAGGGGGAGGGAGGATGGAGGAGGGTTGGGAAGGGGGCTTGTTAGTGTGGCATAAATTATCCTGCTATATTGGAGCCATATTGGAGCCATATTGGAGTCACTTTTGGTCCGATATTGAAGAATTTCCTAAAGTCACACCCGATTCCACAGCCATATTCTTTTAGTCACTTTTGAAAGTTCTCACAAGGAACACCCGATTCTACAGCTGAACATGTTCGCAGCATTGCAAAGGGAGGAGCTGACGAGGGGGGAAGAGGGACAAGGGAATGATGGGGAATTCTTAGGACACTCAGAAACCAAAGGGGGGGTGGAAGAGGGACAAGGGGGATGGTGGCAGGGAGAAGGCAGGTGTGGGCGTGAACAGCGAACGGTACGTGGTGTGGAGACAGGAACGACTTTGGAGACGACTCAAAAATGGTGGCAGGGAGAAGGCAGGTGTGGGCGTGCGTGAACAGCGAACAGTACGTGGTGTGGAGACAGGAACGGGGCATAGGGCATGTGGCATGCGGCATCGGGCAAGGTGCAGCACACGGGACATGGCTGAGTGAAACAGCAGGCGAGGAGGGAAGGGGGATTACCCTGAGGAAGGCCCGCACGCGGTGCAGACTGCCCGTTGATCCGCCCAGTGATGCCTGGTCGCAGGGGGGTGGGGGAGCAAGGGGGGGAAGGGAGGGAGGGAGCAGGGAGCGGTGCAAGGGGGAGGAGCAGGGGAAGGGAGCAGGGCGGGGCGGAGGGGAGCAAGGAGGGGAGGAGGGGAGCAAGGAGGGGTGTTAAGTGGGCAGGGAAGAGGAGAAGAGTGAGGGACCGAGGAAAGGACAATGAACAGGGAAGAAGACAAGTGAGAAACGAGAGAGCACGAAGCTGGGGAGGGGAGGGACAAGAGGAAGGAGGAGCATATGCATTTGAACACCAGAGCACGCAACAGTGATTCCCGTTCCGAGGGGCAAAAAGCAAAAGCACGCAGCAGGTTCTCTGGCGCCGCAATAAATCCTCTCATGCCTGGCAGGCAGAAGTGCTCAGGTGTTATTTGAGGCGCCTCAAAATACATCTCTGGCGCCGCAATAAATCCTCTCATGCCTGCCTGGCAGCAGTGCTCAGCGTCGTCAAGCGTGAAGCCTGACCTGAAGCTGGGAGATGGGAGAAGCAGGAATGAGGAACCAAACCATCCACACAGTCAGTCAGACGAATGTCTTTAGGCAAAGGCATACAACGAGGACTGGTGATGATGGGTTACATGCTCATCCATCCAGCCTCCTCCTTGGGACGTCTCAGAAGTCGAATACACGAGGGCGATGAGGACTGACTGGATTACATGCCCATCCATCCATCCATCCATCCAGCCATCCATCCATCCATCCATCCAGCCATCCATCCATCCATCCATCCAGCCATCCCCCTCCTTGGCTCACCCCATAACCCGCTCCTCCTCACTGTCACTCCAGAGTAACACCGTCTGAATATACCATGAAATGGTGTGATTATGGATAGCGTGGTTGAGTTGAGTGTGACTACTGAGAAACCAAGCGGGGGATATACCTCGTTGGGGTGGGACTGAATCACGTTAAGCATGTACTGAGCATGCCCCTTCTCCAGGTGCCGCCTCGCCCCCACCACCATGCTCATGCGGTCCCCCCTCAAGAAAGGTGCTCCTGATGAGGATGGTGATGGCGATAGAGAGGCTCCTGACTGCTGCTGCTCGTCCTCCCCCAAGAGACTCTGCCAGTGGGAGGCGGGGATGATTGAGTCTATTCCGTTTGAGAAATTTCAAAGGAGGGATGGAATGGAAGGACCCATGGATGCATGCCCGCTAATCTCTCCGAAATGCTAAACCTCTCCTGATCCCTCCTCACCCGCTCACCACCTTCCTCCCTCCCTTCCATCGTAAACCGAATCTGCCTGGTGCCCACAGACTGCTGCTCCTCTCACTCACACCCCAGCCGACCCCCCTTCCCACCCCAGCCCATCCTCCTACCCTTACTGCCCTGCCCTCCCCACCGCCCCCTCCCTTTCACTGTCCCCCCCCCCACCTGCACCAGCTGCCATATCTGCCTCGTGCCCACGGACTGCTGCTCCTCTCAGTCACACCCCAAAGTGAACCTCTATCTGCACATTACCCTTGCTGCCCTACCCGCCCCACCCCCTCCCCTCACCTGCACCAGCTGCCAGATCTGCCTCGTGCCCACGGACTGCTGCTCCTCTCAGTCACACCCCAAAGTGAACCTCTATCTGCACATTACCCTTGCTGCCCTACCCGCCCCACCCCCTCCCCTCACCTGCACCAGCTGCCAGATCTGCCTCGTGCCCACGGACTGCTGCTCCTCTCAGTCACACCCCAAAGTGAACCTCTATCTGCACATTACCCTTGCTGCCCTACCCGCCCCACCCCCTCCCCTCACCTGCACCAGCTGCCAGATCTGCCTCGTGCCCACGGATTGCTGCTCCTCGCCCCGCACCTCCCCTCCTGTCGCCCTCTCGTATGCCGCTGCCATCGCCGTTGCCACCTGGCACGGGATGTGGGGCATTGGGCGTGGGACGTGGGGAGTGGGGAGTGGGAAGTGGGGTGTGGGGAGTAGGGAGTAGGGAGTGCAGCATGGGACACGGGGCATGGGCAGTGCAAACGGGAAGGAGCGGTGTGGAATCAGGACGGCAAAGAGGGAAGTGAGTGGAGAACCAAATGGGCAGGGAAGCGGAGACAGATAACGTTTGTGAGGCGCCCTATTGAAAAAGGCGGCGGCCTTACAGTGAGCGAGCAGGGGTGTGCGAGCAGGAACGAGCAGCACTAAACTTGAACCCTTCTCGCTCTCACCTTCACCCTTCACCACCACGACTCGCTCTCACCTTCACCACCACGCCTTGCTCTCACCTTCACCACCACGCCTTGCTCAGCAGCAGCGTTCAACTCCCCCACCACCTGCGCATACGCCACCTCCCTCGCCTCCCCCACCGCTCTCCCGCCCCCCCCAGGCGACGCAAACCCAGCAGCAGCAGCAGGAGACGCCGCAGCAGCTGAACGAGGGGACATCGCCGAGAGGAACCGTTGCTGGGCCTTCCCAGGCGTACCAGCAATACCACCAGCAGCAGCAGCAACAGTACCAGCACCAGCAGCGCCAGCAGCACCGGTGGAGAAGGAGGAGGGGAAGGAGGAGGGGTTGAGGCGAGTGAGGCCGTGCAGCAGGTCGCGCTTGTCTCTCTGCCAGTCGTCCTGAATGGCTCGAGCCATGAAGGAATCGAACGATGATGTGTTCTCCCGCACTGCTGCCTGCACCGCCATCACGAGGCTTGTTTCGTGCACCTGATGGGGGGGGGGGGGAGGAGGGGGGGGGGTAGTAGGGTTACAGCGCGGTGACATTAGAGGCCGTGCAGCAGGTCGCGCTTGTCTCTCTGCCAGTCGTCCTGAATGGCTCGAGCCATGAAGGAATCGAAGGAGGCGGTGTTCTCCCGCACTGCTGCCTGCACCGCCATCACCAGACTCGTCTCGTGCACCTGGTGGGGTTGGTGGTAGGGTTACACATTTGGTTACAGAGACGGTTATGAATTTCTGTTTCGCGTACAGTTATGGTTAGTACGGCCACACGGTAAATAAGAGGATGGTGAAGGAATTACAAAAGTGTTGGTACGAGGCAATGGAGTGGTGGAAAAGGATTGGGAGCGGTGGTGGGAGGCACAAGATGGCAGTGAGCGGCAGGCCGTACCTGGGTGAGGTATTCCTCCACACTACCCGCATCCACTGGTAGCGAGGTGACTTTTGAGTCGACTCAAAAGTCACCTAGCGACAGGATTGCAGTGACAGGCATTACCTGGGTAAGGTATTCCTCCACACTACCCGCATCCACTGGTAGTACATCCTCAAAGGTCGTCTGCAAGCCACCAGGTGGAACGGGGGTCGGGAGGGAAAGACAGAACGGGGGGGAGACATGGTATAGAGTGAAAAGGAAGGAGAGGGCGAGGAAGGTGTTGAGGTGCGCAGAAGGCACCTAAAGAAATCGTGTCGCGGATCGAGAAAACACACAGGGAGGGGCCCACCTTGAGGTGCACGGAGCGCAGGTCCTTGGTCAGCTGCTCTGTAGGTTTCAAGCTCACAGTGGACTCGACAGCACGGTTTGAAGAGCTTCAGGTTTGTTGCTATCCCACTATGCTATTCCCTAAACCCCGCTCACCTTGAGGTGCACGGAGCGCAGGTCCTTGGTCAGCTGCTCCGCGTTGATGCCCTCCCGCGCCAACAGCCTGCCAAGCCCACGCACAAGGGGGAGCGCGGAGAGAGGGGCGGGCGCGGAGAGGGGAGGAGGGAAGGGGGAGGGGCAGAGTAGGGGGAGGCGGAGGGTAATGGGGGGAAGGGAGGGGTTGGGGGTGCGGCAGAGTGAGGAGAAGGGGGAAAGGGGAGGAGGGTAAGGCGGAAAGGCAGTAGCGGGAGTGACTGAGGGTGGAGGTGTACAGAGGGTTTGGAATGGTTCAAGTCAAGGTACAAATGGTTCGTGAGGCGCCACAGCTCTTAGGCCACCACGTGTATCTTATCTTCATGCGGTAGTGGGAGTGAGTTAGGGTAGAGGTGCACTGAGGGTTAGAAAAATCTAGGTACGAATGGTTCGTGAGGCGCCACGGCTCTTAGGGCGCCACAGGTGTATCATATCTTCATGCCATCCATCTCCATCCACGCTCTCCACTCGCCGTTCCCCATTCCCCACTTCTTCCCTCCTTCCCCGCTCCCTGGTCCCCACTCACCAATCCCAGTTACCCACTCCCCGCTCCCCACTCCCCATTCCCCGCACCCCACTCCCCATTCCCCGCTCCCCACTCCCCATTCCCCGCTCCCCACTCCCCATTCCCCGCTCCCCTCTCCTTCCCCACTCCCCATTCCCCTCCCCCCCCCCCCGCGTCCCTCCCCCCGCGCGCCCCTCCCCGCCCCCTCACCGCGTGGCGGCGTTGGTCTCGGTGACGGCATCCAGCCGCGACGTGCGCGCCCTCAGCTGCTGCGACAACGCCTCCAACTGGTCCAAACTCCTCTGCACCGCATGGCAGTGCATGGGAAGATGAGAACATGAGAACGGGAGGATAGAGGGGAGAAAAGGGAGGAGAAAATGATAGGAAAGAGAGAGGAGAAAGTGAGCAGAAATGATACAGAGGGAGAAGAGGATGAGGGTGTGAGAGGTGTCGTGGCCAGTCACAAAGAGTAGCAATCGGCGGGGAGGGGAGTGCCGGGAAAGAGAACCGCAAGGGCGGGCGAAAGGCACGGGGAGAGGGGGAAGGTTAGGCCGAGGAGGCGGATGAGGGGAAGCGTTGAACCGGGGAGCGATGGTGGAAGGCATGCGAAGGGCCGAATGAGGGGAGCGACTTTGAGGCGCCTCAAAAGGAGGCGGATAAGGGGAAGCATTGAAGCGGGGAGCGATGGTGGAAGGCATGCGAAGAGCCGAATGAGGGGAGCGACGGGCGCTCGTTCAGTTTCGCGAACAAATCATCAGCTGATCTCGGCGAAAGCTGAGAGGCCACCGCTGATAAGAAAAGCGGCTGCTTCAGATCCTCATATGAACCTACCCACTCAGCGGTACGGTCAGAATCGCGAGCAAGCGTGTCTCAAAAGTTGCATAATCTAACTAGACTAGCCGTTACTTGCGACGGCTTCAGACACTCCAAATCTGTTGCAGAGGCACCTGAATGGGAGGGAATTCGGACTCTGTTGCGGAGAATCGCGAGAGCTGCTGCTGGCTCCTCTGCAGCAGATCCTCCCATCCCCTTCCGCTCTCCATGCCGCCTTCAAATCCCGCAGCCGGTTCGTCAGTCGTCAGTCGAACAGAGCAGACGGTTTATTGCAAATTCTAAAGCAGGAGGCAGGCGGTTTCTGAGAATCTATAAAGGCTGTGTTACGATTGGTAAGGTCTGTGCGGAAGGCGCGGCAGCAGTACAATCGATCGGCGGAGATCGGTCGAGAACGGCGACGAGGGCTCTACACAATACGCGATCAGCGGAAGCAAGATTTTCCGAAAACGCGGCGGAGGGCTTAGGGGACGAACACGACGGACCAAGGCGCTGGGCGTATGCAATGCACGTTGAAAGGGCAACGGTCAACGGAAGAAACGCGGAACGGCCGGCGCGCTTATACACGGCATACCGCGTCGCACCTAAAGCGATCAACGGTCTAGATTGCAGCGCAGCCTAGGGAGATGCTGCGAGTGTGCGCAACAGACTGGGAAGGGATCGCACTTAGAAATGGCGGGTTTGGCTTGTACTGGATCTGTGACTCAGGCACCAGCGTGCCTAACCAGCATTTGAATTTGCAAAAGTTGATCGAACTGTACAATGCTTTCGAAACATTTATATTTAACTGCGTATGGCAATTTGCAAACCACATCCATTATGAAGTACGGTAGTACCAAAAGAAATGCATACACAATCCTTCACATCCACATAACACAATTTCCTGATTTTATCCACTTATGGTATCAATCGCTCTCACTGCTCGCATCCCTCTTGTGCCGGCGGGATTCCCTTTTCTTGTCTCTACGACTCCTCCGCTCCTTCCGCTTCCGCTCGTCACTCGAACCACTGCTCCCTTCACTCTCACTGCTGCTCTCCTCCTTCCTCCTCCGTTTCCTCCTCCTCTCCCGCTTCTTTTCACTCCCACTGCTATCAGAGCTGCTACTACCATCACCCCCTCTCCTCTTCCTCCTTTCCCTCTTGGCCTCCTTTCGTGCTTTCTTCCTCTCCCTCCTCTCCTTTTTCTCCCTCTTCATCTCTTCAATAATCCTCAATGCATCTTCCACACTCCCTATCCCCAGTCCCTTCTCCTTCTCCTTCGCCTTCTCCTCTCGCTTCCGCTCTTTCTCCCGTCTCCTCTCCTCCCTCTCTCCCCTCCTGTCCTTCTTCTCCCCTCCCCTCTCCTCTCCTTCCTGCCCCGCTCCATCATCAACCCTTTCCTCCTCCCTCACACTCCCCACACGCCCAGAACCATCCCCAATCGCCCCACCAATCGCCATCCCTTTTTGCTGAGCTGTCATCCACGCAGGCTGAGTCATCGCCAGCCCTCTCCCCCTCCCCCTCAGGTCCACATCAGCCACATCCATCCCCCTTCTCCCCCCATCCCCCCCTCTTCCCCCAAACTCCCCTCTCCCACCACCCCCAGCTCCCAGCAACCCACCACCGCCACCGCCACCCCTCCCACCGCCTCTCCCAACGCCCGCCCCACCCCCTCCTCCGTCCACCGCTATCCTCTCCTCCCCAGCATCATCCGCCAAAAGCTCATAGCTCGCGCCCACAGGCCCATAGCACTCGGTCTTTAAGTGCCCCTGCCCCCCACACCGCGTGCACGTAACATTCAAGACCGCTTCTAGCTCCAATTTCAGGGGGGCTTTCCACTTGCTGCCGCCGCCCTGCCCGCCTCCTATCCGTTGATTACTCGGGTCGCGATCCGCACCGTCCGTTTGCGAAACCACCTTCATGGAGCACCCGACCCTGATGTTTGCCGAGCCTGGCAGGCCCGGGGTCGTGTCGATGACGTCAGCGCCGGTCTCGTCTTTAAGACTGATTACCTTGACCCAGACTTGCTCGCCTTCCGCAGCCACGCCTTTAAGAGCCTCCACTTTTGCATCGTCTGTGTCGTCCCGCTTAGCCACCTGCGGGATTCAGGGTTTATACATGGGACAGCAGATTCGTGGGGGCATGGAGGGTCACGATGTCCGACAGTTGGGCTTCAATGCGTGTGTGTATTGCGGAATTGCACTGTATCTCTACACCAAGTAACAGGCACGCAACGCGCGCGACCCAAGGAGCAATCCCGCACAGTACAGAATTTGTCGTTTCGCCAGGTGTCTCAGCCAGATTTGTCGCACACGTACCTCGTAATCGGACACGTGCGACAGGTGCACGAGTCCGTGCTTGCGATGGCCATCCAGTCGCACGAACATGCCGAACGGCCGTATCGAGTGCACCGTCGCGCGGTGAATCGAGTACAGCGCCGGCACCGCATCCGATCCCTCTCTATCCCGACGCTCCTGCCGCTGCTGACGCTCCCCGCCGTCGCGTCGTCCCCCTGCCCCCCTATCCCCCGCATGGCCCCTTCCGCCGTCCCCCTCTGCGTCCCGCCACCTGTCCATTTCTCCGCCACCGCCGCCCTGCCCGCCTCCTATCCGTTGATTACTGGGATCGCGATCCGCACCGTCCGTTTGCGAGACCACCTTCATGGAGCACCCGATCCTGATGTTTGCCGAGCCTGGCAGGCCCGGGGTCGTGTCGATGACGTCAGCGCCGGTCTCGTCTTTAAGACTGATTACCTTGACCCAGACCTGCTCACCCTCTGCCGCCACGCCTTTAAGAGCCTCCACCTTTGCATCGTCGGTGTCGTCCCGCTTAGCCACCTGTGAGAGAGGTGTGGGGGACAAACCGACATGGGGTTTATGCATGGGATGGGATGGGAAAGCAGATTCGTGGGGCCATGGAGGGTCGCAACGCCCGTGTGCTGGATAGTTGGGCTTCAATGTGTGTGTATTGCGAAATGGAACTGTGGCTTTACACCGAGTAACAGGCACCGCAACGCGCGCGATCCGAGGAGCAATCTCGCACACTACAAAAATTGTCGTTTTGCCAGGTGTCTCAGCCAGATTGGTCACGGCAGTCCCACCTCGCAGTCGCACACGCACCTCGCAGTCGCACACGCACCTCGCAGTCGCACACGCACCTCGTAATCGGACACGTGCGACAGGTGCACGAGCCCGTGCTTGCGATGGCCCTCCAGCCGCACGAACATGCCGAACGGCCGAATCGAGTGCACCGTCGCGTGATGAATCGAGTACAGCGCCGGCACCGCATCCGATCCCTCTCTATCCCGACGCTCCTGCCGCTGCTGACGCTCCCCACGCTCCCCGCCGTCGCGCCGTCCCCCCGCCCCCCTATCCCCCGCGTGACCCCTTCCGCCGTCCCCCTCCGCGTCCCGCCACCTGTCCATTTCTCCCCCCCTGTCCCTCTCCCTCCCCCTCTCCCTGTCCCCGTACCCCTGCCCGCGCTCCCGCCGATCGTCCCTCCACACCCCGTCTTCCCCCCATCCTCCGCCATTCCCCCGGCCATCACTCCCCCGCTCCGTCCGCCTATCGCCCCCCCGATCCCGCCGCTCATCGCCCCGCGCAGCCCTGTCGTCGCGGCTTTCTCCGCCGTCGCGCTTGTCTGGACCCCATCTGCTCGCGCGCGCGCGCCCGCGCTCGTCCCCGCGCGGCGAGCGCCCCATCGCGGAGCCTAAGCCGCCAAATCCGCCGGCTTCGCGGTCATCCCAGTCCTCTCCGTCCATTTGCGAAGATCTTTCGCTGAGGATTTTGTCTGGCGAAGAGAAAAATGAACCAAATTACAAAAATTGGATCGCTTGACTGGAACTTGGCTCCTTTCCCCCTCAGCTCATACAAATATCTGCACCCAGATTTTTCACCTTTAGGGCGTGGAACATTTTAACGACCACGGCAAATGGTCGGAAAGATGGTTGTTTCTGGCGATTGCGAAGAATTGGAGACCCCATTGACTGGCAAGCATAGTAGTCACCCTAAATTGACCGAAAATCATAAGGATTTATCGTAAGTATTTAGGGCCTCTGCTCACACTATCCATCAAAAGTCGACATCGTTTGACTTCCAGAATTACCCCCAATTCAGTTACGACTGAAGTGTTTTGCTTGTACACTCCTGGTATAAGCTTTCACTATAAAAAAAAAAAAATTTCCCCCAATTGTGTTTGCCTAAACACTCTACCTATTTCCCGCTCCCCCCCAATATTCCACACCCCCTTCGAATGCTTAAACTGGGAACAAATGTTTCTGCTTAGTGGGGGTGGTTTTAATTGGGTGCCCCACGTCCTGGCGAGCAGAATAGCTTAGAAATTTCGCACCCTTCGCATCTCCGTTACACACTTCGCTTTCGCCAGACCCAACCATATGGTCGACAAATCGGCGTGGTCGTAAAAATGTTCCACGCCCTTGCCCCCTGTTTGGCACCTCGTTATATAGAAGCAAGTGATCGAAATACACTAGAGCAAAACTACGTGGTCGTGAGCTCTATCTCATAATGCTGCAGCGTTTTTTAAAGCTGCAGTATACATTTGAAAGTACTGTTTAGGTTTCTACTGGCCATAGAAGTCACTGTACAGAACAAGAAAACGACAATCAAGCAATCCTTCAAAGTTTTTCAGACACGAAATTTATCATTACTCCTCAAGCTCCGGTCAAGCCCCTTTCCTTTCAAAACCTCCAGGCTGGCCCATGGTTGCAGGAACCCCATCAACCCATTCTCGCCCAACCCCACCAGCTCTTTCCTTCGCCTCTTCAGTTGCCCACAGAGTGTAGTCCCTCACAAGCCCATTGAGAAGACTGGCCTGCATGGCACCTAAAACCCCGTCCAGGAGAGCGTTCCCTACCGCCTCCACTGCAGGCTTGGGAATCAGTGAGAGAGGCATGGGTAGCCGCACTGTAAAGGCCAGGTTCACTGAACCGCCCAGAAGACAATTCGCAGAGTCAGATGCAGAACCAGCAGAGAAATCTTCGGAGGAGGATGAGGAGGTGTGGGATGGCGTGAGCTGGCCGTCGAGGAAGAGGCGGAAAGGAATGTTCTGCATGGCGGCAGGTGCACCTATGAAGTCCAGCTGAAGCTGGTTTGAGAAGAGACGCAGAGACGAGCCGTCGTGGTACACTCTGAGAGATGGAGGGTGAGATGGTGCAGGGAGGGGCGATGAGGGCCGGGAGGAGGCCAGGGGGGGGATGAGGGGGGAGGGGAAAAGAGAGGGAGGGGGCGGAGTGGAGATGAGGTTTTGGATGAGGGAGAGGGAAGCGAGGGATAGGATGGGATAAGATAGGATGGAATTGGACGGGATGGGACGTAACGGGACGGGATGCGATGGGATGGGATGGGATGGGATGAGGTGGGGTGGGGTGGGGTGGGATGGGATGGGATGGGATGGGATGGGATGGGATGGGATGGGATGGGATGGGATGGGATGGGATGGGATGGGATGGGATGGGATGGGATGGGATGGGATGGGAATGGATGGGATGGGATGGGATGGGATGGGATGGGATGGGATGGGATGGGATGGGATGGGATGGGATGGGATGGGATGGGATGGGATGGGATGGGATGGGATGGGATGAGATGGGATGGGATGGGATGGAATGGGAATGGAATGGGTACGAGGGTGTAGGAACTGTGGACGTTGGGGAAGGAGAGAAGTGTTACATTGAAAGAGCAAGTTGAAATGGACAATATTGATCAATAGAAACCACGCTACTACAGATAACAGATTGGTGATCAAATTATACTCAGACCACTGATGATACCCTCCATCGGACTCCGTAAGTCTGTATCCAACCCAACTGCTCCCTGTTACGAACCCCACACATTCCTGTAATATGAACCACATTCGCTCGAGCAATCAGGCACCTGAAGCAGCGCACCCGGCGGGAGAGAGCTCACCTTAGAAGACAAATGGGCGTGGCAGTTATGCTAAAGAACGTCAGTTGCCGAATCACCACCCGCCATAGGTCTGCATCCAGCCGCATCAGCCGCTTCGAGTCCGGAAACACCACGCGCACTATCCGCTCCGTCTGCTCCGCCAAGTATTCGCCCACGCTCACTATCTGCCGGTCACCGGCAACGCTGCCGGCAGCCCTGACGGCTGGCCGTTCCGCGCTGCCGGCGGCTGCTCCAGGAGCCGCGGCCGGCACGCGAACCTGCGGGCAGGGAATTAAGACGGTGCGCTCGGCGGTGAACTGAATCTCCCCCGGCTCCGGCGTTTGCGGGCTCTGCTGATTTTGAAGCGGTTGCTCGCGGGTCGCACTGGCACGTGGCACCACGCGGAGCCTCGTCTTGATCGCGACTTGACCGCCATACCGCTTCGGAGAATCGTTGAACGACGGACGCCATGGTTTGGTAGCAGACTCGCCGCACGGCCGCGCGACGAGAGCCGCGGCGGCGGGAGGGGAGAACGCGCGAGCTGAGCGGCAGGGGAGCGAGGAGAGCGCAAGCTCGCAGGGATTGATAACAGTGCGGGTCAGCATGGTGGCGAAACACTGCTATGAGCGGCACACAAGGAAGAGAGGGAGAAAGATGAGAGTGATTGGCGGGATTTCTGTGCTCGCAAGCCAGAAATGGATAAGGCAGAAGTGGCGTGTGGCCTGACTGATTCTTATTGCTGTCCTGTTTCTCCCTCTAAATAAGCCGAAGGACAGACCTAGTTATGACGAGACGGGGGGAATGGGATGGGACTGGGGAATTTGGATAGGTGTCAGTAGAGTGAGCAACAAGGCGATTGGCTGCAAAGAGGTATCGGTGAACACGCCAGAAGGAATCCCGTTGGTGTGGAAACACGGGGATAGCAGTGGTCGAGAAGAGGAAAACCAGGGTTTGGAACGGTTCAGATTAATACAGCGATGGGGGAACAAATTTTCGGACGGTTAGACATGACCGGCCATCTTTTCCTGGTGTTCAATTTCACACCCGGTGTGAGCAACAAATACACTACTCGGTCAGGACTCCGTGTTTGATTGGAGGGACCATTTTTTTCTCGGCCAACCGGTGGCACTTCTCTGAACACAGCTTGTGCTAGCACTAGCTGGCGAATTTGAGTGCTACAGTTGGTGTGAAGTCGCTACTGATTCCGCCTATGTTTCACAAATCCACAAATCCTCACAAGGATGATCCATCTGGGTTATTACACTACGATGTCAAATTCAACGACGTTGCGGAAACAGATGCACCTGGTGCGTACCTAGGCTGTACGGGCGCACCACAGCCACGCCAAATCAGACCGAACTAGCTTGCAGAACCGAAAAGCCCAGCAAGTTTTGCTGGCTTCCCAAGCCGTAGTGCCGAGGCGGCTACCAAAGCACCGTGCTGTAAGCCATGCGCTAGGTGTGTGGGAGGAAGCACTCCCATGAAGGTGTGCCTCGCTTTTCGCTTTTGGGAGCTCCTTTGCTACCGAATCTGAAGTATAGATCTTGCTTTATACAGTACTTATTTGACTCAATGCGTAGCACCAGTACACTAGTAGTCTAGTGTATTCCTGCAATGCACAAAGACCAATTAAACAGCAATACAAGATGTGTCGGTCTTCAGGTGGAAGACCTTCTATCCTAATCTTAATTAACTCACTAACAGCCACTATAGATTACCTAATGGAGGGTTATGTATGAGAATATGATCATCTATTCGTTACTGGTAGCCTGGTTAGTCAGAGAATGTTCCATCACTGGTCAGTCAAGACCGCTGACAAGCCATGTTACCGCTGCCGTTTACCCCTTTCCAATCTTGCCACGGCACCAGTTATGGTTACCCCTTGTGCAGAAAAACACCTGCCAGCACAAGCATCAGCCTTTTCACACTCTCGCCTTCGCTTTTGCGACTTACCGGTCCCTGCGTGCCCCTGCTGTATGGAAAAAAGCGGCTGCACGATACAGTCTGCACCCAGCTTCCGCTTTATCCGCAGGATGCTCTGCCTCTCCTTCCACGATCTGGATCGCTCCAACCTCGCTGCCACCCGTCTTCCCAGCAGAGAGCTGCTTCTGGAATCCTTTCTTCGTGCAACGGGAACAGGAGATGCTGCTTTCCCTGCCCCAAGCATGCTTGCAGCTGCCCCGGAACCTCTGACCGCCTCTGCACACCTCTGGAAACCCCCCACATTGCTGTGTGCTCCTAATGAGCTGCCAGATGCACCACCTCCTGTTGCTTGCATACCATCCTTCTTCTGCCTCTTGCCGTTGCCGTGAAGCAGCATTTCCTCTTGTTCTCTGCATCTCCTAGTCTCGTCCAACCCTGCTCCCTCTGTTCTGTCACAGTCCTCATTCCCCTCCTCCTCATCTCCAATCACCTCCTCCCTTGCTTCCTCCACCTCTCCTTCCTCTGTGCTCTCCTCCAGCAGCTTCCTCCTCTTGTCTTCATTCCGCTTTTCCAATACCTCCTTCCCATTCACGCCCTTGGAAGACTCTGTCAAAACCCTTCTATTTTTCACTATCCTATGCCCTCCTCCTCCCTCGGACCCCTGATTCTCCCCATCCTCCCACTCATGTTCCTCCTCTTCAAGCCTCCCCTTCTCTCTCAAACTGGATGATGGGACGGCAGGAGGAGGCTGAGAGGCAGGAGGGCGCGGGGGGAGCTCCCGAGTTCGAGCCTTTCGTTTTCTGTGGTCAGTGTCTCCCTTCTCACTGCCACTTTTGTTGCTGTCACTGCCCAAACCGCTACCAGAACCACCACCACTATTTTCACACCCATCTGCTCTTCCAGCTGCGTTTGCGAAAGCATCGCCCCCCCACTGATGCCTCTCCCCTTGATTCTCCCTCCTCTGCTGCCCGTTCCCCTTGCCTTTGCCCTTCCCTCCAGACTCCCCTGTCCCGCTCCCCCCTTCTCGTCTCTGAGATGGGGCCACGTACCCCCGTAGCTCCTCCTGCCGCCGATTCAGCGAATGTAGACGCACCGAGAAAGATGACCCACGGTAATAGCAGCGCGGTGCAGAGGAAGAGGGAGCGGTGGAAGTGAGGCTACTGGACGCTTCAACAGGGGCGGCTATGGAGGAGGAACGGGAGGAGGATGGAAGAGGGAGGCTGGTGGGTTGTAGGAGGCCGTGTGGGTCCACAGAAAGACTCACATTGCCATTGTTGACCTGCAATGGTGGTGGTGGTCGGAGAGAAGGGGGGGGAAGGAGGAAAGGGATTTGTGCATAAGGCGCGTTGTAAATCAGCGAAGGGAAAGAAGAGCGATGTCAGCAGCAAGAGAGGAACAGCAATTGGTCCGAACATCTTAGCGCATGCTGTTGAAATAGCAACGGTTCAGGTGAACACTACATAATCGTGGGGGGGATGGGGATGGGTGCAGGCCTAGCAAACGTGGGGCCAAAGCAACATACCAGCTGGAGCAGTGCAGAGAAGTATCGGGGGACCTCGTATGCATGAGGAGTGTTGATCACGTTTTCAAACAGGTCCTCGCACAACTGCTGCTGCTGCCGCCCTTCCTCTCCTTGCCCAGCGCCCTCCATTTCAGCCATCTCCTGCTGCCGCTGCTGCTCCTGCTGCATGTGTTTCTGCTCCAAGGCGGAAAGAATGCGGTCCCCATACACGTGGATGTCAAATGGTGGCCGCTCATCCTGCCACACAGTACAAGCTCAAGTCAGTGAGATGCTAATAAACACATTCGTTCTTCCTAAACGAAGGATTGATAGCTGCACCGAGGTTCTCTGGTAGATCCTCTGCCAGCACTCACCTGTTGCTCAAGAAGCGGCAGAATGCGAGACTGCCAGTCTCCCACCCTCGTTTCTACTTCTGATCTTCGCGCCTGCATTTCCGCCGCCCTCTGTATCATCTCCGCCTGGCTCGCCACAAAAGGAAAGGAGCAGCGGAAGGGGAGGGTGTGGTGGTGGGGTGGGGGGAGGGAGAAACGCCTTTGCTTCAAATGCTGGGACATGGATGTGTATCATGCATCTCGCATGTGTTGTCACAGGCCTACCGCAGAGTTGATATGTGACAGGAGCATGCAAAGTCTGATGCACATGACTCACCACATGTGCATCTCGCATGGCTTCCACTGTTGCCACGTGTGGTGCTGAGGGGTCCGCCGGCAGGGGTGTGTCGGAATGCAGAACGTTCGCCTCCCAGTCCATGCCTGGCTGCTTCCACACACATGCACACATGCACCCACGCAGTCACACACACAGTACACGCAGCACACAGCACACACACCACACATGCACACATTCACACACAGCACACATGCACACACAGCACACATGCACACACAGCACACATGGACACAGACATACGCAAAGCGAGGCTTTATAACAAGGCACCCACGACTAGTGATGGAAGCCTGGACGCTAGACTGCGACAGAATCCCAGAAGGGGTTTGCGTGCACCAGGAGGGGCTTGAGAAGCGTTAGACAGGTTCAGAAATAACTAGGAAATACATAGGTGGTCTGCAGGGAGGGTATCAGCAGGTGCATGCCACACCATGCCGTTCGCAACATAAAAAACTCACGAGGGTGTCAGGTACATACGTGCATGTATGTGTGTGTGCGTGTGCTTGCAGGGAATAATACTCACCAGCGAGTCAGCACCAGACGGTCCTGTGGATCTAGGACGCTCCACGCCCGTCCGCTCACCCTCCCCGTCCTCCCCGTCCTCCCCGTCGCTACCCCCATCATCCATCCCCGCGGCACCGTCATCATCGTCCTCTATATCCATCCCGTCGAATCCGAATCCCTGCGCCCCAAGCCCTTCCGCCCCCGCGTGCGCGTCCCCGTGCGCGCCACCGGCGCCCCCCCTATGCGCGGATCCGTGGGAGCCATGGGCGCGTTCCCCGTCCTCGAGATTTGCATCTAGGTCCGCGAAGACGTTGCCTGTTGGGGGCTCTAGAGCACTGCCTGCCTGCTGGAAGCAAAGCAGGATACGCGTACACACGCACGCACGCACGCGGGCACACACACACACAGACACGCACACACACACACACCACACACACACACACACACACACGCACACAAACACACACACACACACACACACACACACACACCACACACACACACACACACACACCACACACACACACACACACACACACACACGCACACACACACACACACACACACACACACACACACACACACACACACACACACACACACACACACACCACGCACGCTGTTAGATCCAGTGGTCGTGAGAATACTAAAAGCTCTGCACACAGCCCCACTTCAGCCCCCACGTGCATTATCCCGCCGCCCTTCCCCCATCACGCCTCACCCACGCCCCCCATCCACCCCCCTCCTCCCGCCCATCCCTCCCTACCTTCTGCGACCCTCCGCCGTCGAAGCTTCCCCTTGGAACCCCGTCTTGCTGCCTCTTCCTGTCGCGCATCACCGCACGCTGCATGATGCTTTCTATGTCTGGGAATATCATGCCGCGACCCCTGCCCGCCAGCAGAGGGAACGACAGCCACACGCCCGGATCGCTCAGGCTGCTGGCCAAATCACCACCGTCGGTTTTGCGCTTGACGCGCAGGTAGGGCCGGCCTGGGGGATGGGGGAGTCCGGGAGAAGGGAGAGGGGCGAGGTTCCGGGGAGGGGGCGGGAGAGGGAGTTTGGGGGGGGAGGAGGGGGAAAGGTGGGCGCGTGTGCGTGAGAAAGATGGGGCGAATCCCTGAGGGGGACAAACGGTGACGCTTCAGATCAAGCGAACGTCGAGAGTCAGGAGAAACAGCAGTTTTCAGCCTCTTCCCCGCGGAGCGACGACCCCCGCTTCCCCTCACCTTTCCGCAACGGCCTTTGCGGCATGCACCCTGCTTCATTGGGGTCGAGTGGGGCGAACGGATCATACTCCCCTGCCGCCTCCCCCTGCCCTCCGCCCCTCCCGCTCGCGCTCCCCTTGCCGCTGCCCTTCCCACTCCCTCCTTTCGATCCCGATTTGTTCTGCGCACTCCCAGGCACACCCACCCCACCGCCACTTCCGGCTCCGCTTCCGCTTCCCCCAGCTCCCCCGCTCCACTCCCCCGCGTGCGACCCATGCGCATCTCCGCTGCCCGCGGCTGCCTCCCCCCAGTCCCCGCAGTCAAACCCGCCAGCCGTCCCCATCCCATCCTCATCCTCATCATCCCCCGAACCCATCCCCCCCATGCCTTCCGCCGCCTGCCATTCGCTCTGCCGCGCAGCCCCCTCCCCCCAGTGCGAGCATCCCGCTCCCCCCAAGTCTTCCGCCACTGCTTTCCCTCGGTCCGCGTAGGGCGACGAACTCCACCCGTTGCGCGGAAACGGGGGGGTGCAGTCGGGGGAGAGGCCCGGTTGGGGGAAGGCGAAGGCGGGGGAGCCAGCGCCCGGGGCTGTGCGGACGTGCGCAGCGCGACGCCGCGGAAGGCGCAGCAGCGCATCCATCACGTCCCCGTCTTGCGCCTCCAGGAACACAGACCCCGACACGTGGCTGACGAACGCGGCCATCTGCAAGAAAGCCAAGTGAAACGCAGGGGGGCAGGAGCGGGTGTGGGGTGGGGCGGTGGTGGGTGGGGGAGAGGGGAGTGGAGAGTTGGGAGTAGATTAGTCGTGAAAAGAGTTCAGTCTGTTGAACACGATGGGACAGATCCGAAATGAATGATCCGAAACAAGACCGCTATGTAGCACAGCAGAGCACCTCCAGAGAACAGCTAAGTATGCAACAACCTCCAAATGATCGAGCGCCTCCCGTGGACCACTAGGCACCTCCCAAGAACCGCTACACACCTCCCAAGAACCGCTACACACCTCCCAAGAACCGCTACACACCTCCCAAGAACCGCTACACACCTCCCAAGAACCGCTACACACCTCCCAAGAACCGCTTTGCACTGAATGACCCGTGGTACCTTGAAGGCGGAGAGCTCAGAAAAAGGCACAGTGCTGGACCCCTTTCCCCCATCTAGCTCCTCCTCCACTGTCAGCAGTATGGGTGGCGCGCGGGGTGGCAGCTTCGACCCCTGCCGCGCTGCTCCTCCTGCCAGCCCTCCCTCGTCGTCGTCGTCATCTTCGTCCTCTGTGGTTTTCTTCTGTCCCTTTTCTCGCATGTCCAACCGCGACGGTTCCGAACCGGACCCAACCACTGGGAAGAGGGAAGTCGAGAGGTACAGTGGTTGTGAGATACAGGGAAACGAAGGCCAGGAGCCAGTAGGGCTAGAAAGCTAGTGGATGGGATTATGCTATGGTGGTATGAGGAATTTCAAGCAGAAGGCAATCGAATGAAATAGCAGAAACGCTACAAACGCTACAAGTCAGTACACGCACTGACCTTCCACGTCGTCCAGGGATAGGAAGCGTCGCATGTCGCAGTCATCGCCGTCGCCGCCATCGCCCTGCGCGTCGCCGGACTCATCCCCGTCGTTGCTGCCGTTCGTGTCCCTGCCATGACACCATGAATTAGCTTCCACAGTACTAAAACACAGCCATTCTTTATTTTCATCCGTTCATGCGCAGTGCCTCCCGCATTTACCCATTCCCCTTGCAAATATCCAGTTCTTAGCGATCATCGGGAATTTGCAGCGCCATCACCACCCCAGAATTCCATGACACGCGTCACAAGCGACCAGTCATGGTGCAATGATATCCTTCGTCGATTACTCACCCGGTCGTGAGAGCAGTCAGCGTGTGCAGCACGAGGCTGTGCAAGTAGTCCGTCTTGCGACTGTAGATCCCCGCCGAACCTTGCACGACCAGCGCGGCTGCCAGGACGAACAGAATACATTCAAGTCTTAAGTGAAACGAGAGCAACGAACACGATCGCGTACCAACTCTATCAGTATTCTACTCCCCCTTACCTGTCTTTCCAGACTCATTATAGCTCCTTCAGTGCCTACCCATAAATCTAAGCATAGATATGTCAAACGTAGTCTGTCAAAATTCTACGAATCAGTGATCTCGCACCTTCCACGAAGTTCAGGTTGGCACCGTCCTGCAGCGAGCCTGCTGCACCTTGCAACTCGTTCAGGTATTCGCCTAATACGCTAGCCACGTCGATGGTCCAGTTGAGGGCTGGGTCTCTCTCGGGGAGGAGAATCTTCGTGAACCTGCTTCCTGCATCTTCATCTCCTCCCCTGCCTACGCCGGAATGCATTCTAAGTTGTGTATAAATAAATTATTCCTTAGTAAGGGCTGAAGTTAACAAGCCACAGGGTTGGCGGAAAAATGGTTCAGCCTTAACATTTCAGCACAAAAACAGCGATTTAGTTCGCAATAGGTTACTGGACGAAATGCTCAGTTCTAAGACACGATAAGTTGAAAACATATGTTGGCACTTTAGCCTTATCAACCCTTGCGTCCTTGTGTCTGCTGTTGCAGACGGAAATCCACTTACTAACGGAAACTGAATAAGCTCTGGCTCGTCGCGTTATCCAGCCTCCTCGACTAAGAAAGCAGTAGCTACTTGCTCAGGGTGCCTGTGAAAGGCGCAGTAACACAATGACACTGAAGCTGAGAAGCCTCAGCTTCTGGCTGGAGCTGAGAGGAGAGAGTGAGAGGTGGTGAAGGAGGTTCCAGGCTGCCCTGCAGCCACACCAACCCATGCTTGTCAGAGTCCTTGATCCTGCCAAGTCGGCCTTTCTGGTTCAAATTTCTCCCGCCAACGATTCGGCAGACCTCGAGGCGTGGCGGGAGTTTTGGAAATTCCCAACGCATTTTTGAAGGTTTGTTGCGTTTGGGTGGAGTCGATAAAAGCAACCTTCTATACGTACAATTTGAACTTTATCCAGTGTCTATGGTGATATTCTTGATACTGTAAAATGATTTTCGAGGAAACAATAAAACGCTACATCAGTGTAAGTAGATAGGCATACATTTATGTAGAAATCAAATATAATATATTTTAAACTGTCGTTATGATAGTATAACTACTTGTTTTAAAAGAAGAATCCAAGCTTTTCAGCAACAATTTGATTCTGATTTTGCAATTTTGTTGGTACAGATCCAATCACCGTGCAGAAACTCTTTTCACCGCACATTATCGTACAAGTTCATCCTTGCACGCAACTTGCTCCGCACCAGCTGCAAGCAGCACCCGCATGATCGTGGGATGTGCGTCTCGGCCTTCACAGTTCCCCACGCTCCTCCGCTCCTCCGCTATCTTCCGTCAGTCCTTCTCTGTCCGCAGCGCAGACTGCTGTTTTTCTACCGATCTACGAGCCTCACTGTTTAAAACTCATTCCTCTGGAGATCCGTCTCGGGACTCAGCTCTGGATTTTGTAGCGATCATGGGCAAGGTGCGTCCGTCAGCGTTGCTGCAGCGCGCCAAGCAGCAGCGGGCCGAGGCTGCCGGCAAGCCGTCCGTGCCCGTCAAGGGGTGCATCGCGCTGACCCTCCTGCTGCTCGGGGCGATTCTCTTTTTGCGCCGGACTTCCGCCCCGTGAGTCGCCACCCTTTCTTTTGTTCGCCTTAAATACGGCTTATGAGCTGAATTAAAACAACAGCCTCGTTTCCTTTCTTCCCCTTTTCCCGCCGTCTCCCCTTTCGTCCCCTCTTTCCCGTTGGCTCTATTCACGCCAGCCATAGTCCAGTGTATATTGGATTCTCACAATCTGTTATTCCAATCTCTCTCATCTCCCACGCTCCTCAACTTTTTTCTCATCCTCACCTCTCCCCTTCCCCTCTCTCCCCTCTCCCCCCACGCGCGCCCCTTTCCCCCCTCCCTCTCTCCCTCCCTCGTCCCGCCTCCTTCGGTGTCGTATCTTCCCCACCTTCCCCAAGCAGGCCCTCGACTAGATCCACTGCCACTTCTGACTCCCAGGTCAGACCTCCCTACTGTGAATAGCTTGCATGCTACAGCTGCCACTTCACTCGCCTGTAGCTGGCTTTCTAAGCTGCAGCTGTAGCTGCTGCCTCATCCCTCTGCTCTGTTTTACGTGATTCCATGTGCTTCGGTTCTTGCATCGACCCCTACTTTTTCCCCACTTCTTCCCTTCCCTCCCTACCTCTCTCTCTCTCTCTCTCTCTCTCTCTCTCGCACACACTTACTTGTGCCCTTTCCACCTCTTTCCTCCCAATGCCCACTTCCTAAATTCCCGTGGATCTTTGGACCTCCAGTCGTCGCGCAAGCATCTTATGGAGTCTGGGAAGCAGGGGGTAACAGGCGAGGCAAAAGAGATCGGGAAGAAGTTTCCCAAAGTGGTGCGTGGGTGGGGCTGGATGTGTGTAGAGATATGACTTTTGAGGCGCCTCAAAAGTCGGCAGGGGAGGCAAGGGAGGTTGGGAAGAAGCTGCTCAAAACGGTGCGTGGGTGGGCCACAGGTGTAAGTGGGGTTATTGTGAGGTGGATGGGTGGGTGTGGGTGTGGGTGTGGGTGTGGGTGTGGTTGGGTGGTTCACGGGCATGGGTGGGACGAGCAGTAGTGATGATGGCACTGCTTGTCAACAGACCCATATGCCTCGTTGTGCTCTTTGTGTTTCTTGGCTTTTGATGCTACGTGTTAGACCACTGTGTGTTCCAGCAGACCGTAATTGCCTTCGAGTTTCTCCCATGTTCTTATCTTGCTGACCTGCCGATCTGCCAACGTGCAGCTATTAAAGACGACCTTAGGCGACATAGTGGTGGAGCTGTATGCGGATGATTGCCCCAAGACCGTGGAGAATTTTCTCACACACAGGTGCTCTCTCACACTCATTTGTTCTCTCACTCAGGTGCTCTCTCACTCAGGTGCTCTCTCACTCACAGGTGCTCTCTCACTCACAGGTGCTCTCTCACTCACAGGTGCTTCCTCACACTCAGATGTTTTCTCACACTCAGATGTATTCTCACACTCAGGCTAACACTCAGGTATTTCCTCACACTCAGGTGCTTCCTCACACATCCACCTGCCCTATCGACTGCTTTTCCATATACACTCAATTCCTAGCCTCCCCTCCTCCCTCCCCCCCCACCCCCCCCCCCCCCCCCCCCCCCCCCCCCCGCGCCCTCCAGCAAGAACAAGTACTACAAGGGAATCATCTTCCACCGGGTCATCCCAGGCTTCATGATCCAGGGCGGAGACCCCACGGGCACGGGGCGGGGAGGCGAGTCCATCTGGGGCGGCTCATTCGAGGACGAGATTCGCGCGCACCTGAAGCACGAGCCGTTCACTCTCTCCATGGCCAACGCGGGCCCTGACTCCAACGGCAGCCAGTTCTTCATCACCACTGTCGCCACGCCGCATCTGAACGGGCATCACACTGTGTTTGGCTCGGTCATTAAAGGGAAAGACGTGGTGCAGGTGTGCTTCTTCCTTTGCCTGCCAGCCTTTCTTAATCCTCCTTGTTCCGTTCCACCTGTGCTTGCCCACCAGGTCGGCCTTGCCTCTCCTCCACCGTTTTATCTCCTTGTACCCTTCCTCCCTTCTTCTTCTCCACCATTTTTATCTACTTCCATTTTCATTTCCGTAGCGGTCCCTCCCATGCACTTCCCGTCGGTACAGTGTGCTTGCACACACATTATGTGTGCTTTTCATGTGCATTATTCCTGTATCAATGGATCTGTCAGCTGATGTATCCATTGCATGTTCTCTGACATGATCATGCATGCCCTGAGCTTGTTTGCTGCATGTGTATGTGTCCATGCATTTGTGTGCATATGCATGCGTGTGTGCGTGTGCGTATGCATGTGCATCTGTGTGCCCATGCAAATGTGTGTGGCTGCATGCTACCAGGCCATAGAGAATGTTCAAACGGACTCCGGTGACCGTCCGATAACAGCCGTTACAATCCTGGACGTAGAAGTTGACCCTGACACCTGCTGCTGATTGCAGCACTGGAGGTTGGAACCTTGGGGATTGCAACAATGCGCACATTTGTGTTGTTTTGCCAATACCCCTGCTGCGGGCCTCAGTAGGCATGTACCGTCATCGCCCGGATAGTAGACAGTGTTGAATAGTAGACAGGGGTTGTCTATTATCCGGGTGTCTCTTATAAACAGGCTAGCCTCATTATAAGACACCTATTTGTGTGTACAAGGGTGTGTAGGGGTTAGGGGCAATTGTCTAACAAGGGGGTGTCTTCTAAAAGGTTCTTTGTCCATTTATAAGACTTATAAGACACCCTAAACCATCCCAAACACAAGATAACCCAAGCATTTTGAGTAGTGTACGAGATAAGACATATATGTCTACTATCCGGGCGATGACGGTACTAAGATTTAGGTTCTCAAGCTGTAGGAAGCATTTGCACTCTGGATTTTAGGTTCTGACACTGGTGCATTAGATTTCTCAACATATGCACTCTGAGTTGGCTTATTCCCCATCACTAGAGATATGGATTTGTTTAAAACACCTCGTGTACCATCAGGAACGCATGAGGCCTTCACCACAAGATTACAGCTGTTCGTTTGCATGAATGTAGCTCCATCAAGCCACAGGTTAACAAAAACAAAAGGCTGTCTTGCTGAGTCAATTCCTACAACCTACATCACAAGAGCATTGAGACTGCATACAGTGGTAGTAACAACTATCCCATACAAGCAGGAAGAACAATGCCACGACTCGGGGGGGGAGGGGACACGATAGAAAGGTGAAATTGGAGTATGGAAGAGGGGCATAGAATGGGGAGCTTAGGAATGAAGAGCAGGAAGATGATCAGGCTAGAGAAAGCAGCTTAGGGAGAATATGCGGCACCTGCAGCAAGCGTGAGCAACAGCGATAAAACACTTCACACAACCGCGCCATGCAGCCAGTCAGCCTGATAAACCCAGCACACAACACCTCCCACCTCCACCTCTCACGCCGTGTCCTTCCTCCCCACCCACACAGCACGCGCCCACTCATCGAATCTGGCTCATAGAGCACACAAGCCCAGAAGCATCCGCGCCCACCACAGCCAGATCACACACAGCACACACAGACCCCGCACACTCCGGCACGAAGCGGGCCCCGCAGTAAGGGCAGAAGGAATCCCTGCTGCCACGGTAAATCGGCACGAAAGTCGACCCGCAGACAACAAACGGGTTGCGCGGGTCGTAGTTCAGCTGCTGCTCGTCGCGCGGGTTCTTCTCGCACTCTGCCAGGATCTTCCGCACCTTGGTGGCCACGCCGGCAGTGGGGTTCAGCTCGAGGAGGCGACGGCAGATGCTGGCCGTGGTGGCAAATAGCTTGAGCTTGAAGCCGGCAGCCATGGCTGCCTGCAGGCTGAGCTTCAGGTGAGCTGGTTGCAGCTTGCAGTGCGTGAAGTAGGCTGCCAGCTCGGCCTAGAGAGGGGAGAGAGAGAGCGGGGGAGGTGATGGGGGACGGGGGTGGGAGTGGAAGGGAGAGGTGTGCACACCCACGTGGAGAGACGCAGTAGAAAGGAAAGAATAATGGCATGTGTGCTGTGCACACCATACATGTGAGAGACGCATGCACACACGCCCACAACACACGAAGAGCAAATGCACACATGCACACATACCCCAACAGAAAGAGCCCAGACTCTTTGCCTTGCACCTTTTGTGTTGCCAGATGCTTTTACAGAATTTTTTGCCACGTTGCTGTTGCAACAAAGGCAACACAGCACATAAAGAGTGCACGTGGAATATGCAGCAGGCAACAAAGCCGATCTCTACTGATTCAGTTCAACCACCGCACTGGTTAAAAAGCACACCGAACTCAACAAGACAAGCATCAACAAGACCAGGGGTGTTCTGACCTGGCGGGCGGGGTTGTCGCGGGTCTCCTTTCTCTTGAGCTCGATGCGCAGAGCGAGCGTGTACTCCTTGGAAATCCCCAGCAGCTCCTTCACCTCATCCACCTCCTTGCGCGTCTCCACCACCAGCAGCGGGATCGTCTGCAGGATGCCCAGGAAGAGGCGCAGAGCGTCCGTGAACTTGCCCTCCGTGGTCATCTTGTACGCCGCGTTCAGCTTCTCATCCAGCGCACTCAGGCGGAACGCCATGGACGGGTGCGCCCACACATTCGGAGGAGACGTCTCCGTCCACCCAGCCTCCATCCCCAGGGCGATGGCAGGGACAGAGGGGAGGGCCGGGAGGGAGGTCTGGCTGGCAAGAGACAGGTCCAGCATGCCCTGGCGCAGCGGGGCGAAGTTCTTGATGCCCAGCTGGCGGCTGAGCTGGCGCATGGCCGCATCGAACGCGCCTGCTGCTGCGAGCTCTCCCGCAAGAGGCGTCTTCTGGGCCCACTTCTGCGTGACAGGGATGCCAGGGCTGGGCGCCACGAAGAAGGTGGTATCGGCACCAGAGCCCACGTCGCCCGCGCCTCCATCGTCGGGAATATCCACGTCAATGCCTCCCCACCCGTCCTCGTCGTCCTCGCCCTCGCCCTCGCGCTCCTCCTCACCCTCGCCCTCCTCCGCCTCTCCCTCCGCCCCCTCGCCCACATCCGGGATATCCACGTCGCCCCACCCTGCTCCCACCTCCTCGTCCGCGCCAGCAGCCGCGGCAGCGCCAGCATCCCCGAAATCCCACATAATACCCTTGCTCACGTTCAGCAGCGGCCAGTTGTCCTGGCGCAGGATGGGCGTGGGGGGCAGCAGCAGCTTCGCAGTGCCGTCCGCAGGGAGGGGAGGCACGCGGTCGCCCAGCTCCTCCGCCAGACGAGCAGCCGTCTCCTCCAGCCCATGCACGGCCGCAGTAACATACGCCAGCGGCGCGTGCCCAGACTCCTCCAGGATCTTCACCCGCTCCTCGACATCCCCAAGGTACAGCGCATTGTGGAAGCGCCCCATCACATCATTGCGCATCTCAGCAATCTTCAGCATCTTACCCAGCTTCTCCAGATTCCCCGTGATCAGATACAGGAAGGAGAGGCGCTCAAAGTTCTTAGTCTTCTGGTAGGAAAACTCGACAATCTGGTGGTTACCCTGGCGGAGCGCCTCCACGCCCAGGCGGTACCAGGTGTCCTTGTGGTCAATCTCATGCGCGGACGCCAGCGCCACCTCAATGTTCCCGCACTCAATCGCCAGGTTGAAGCGCGTGCGCTCGTCCTTCACAAAGTGCAGCGCCACGTCCGGGAACCCCTTCTGCTGCAGGTACGCAATGATACTCTGCCCGCACAGCTGGAAGCTGCGGATCATAGCAAGCACCTGGTCGTACTTGCGCTGAATCAGCGCCAGCTTGAACATATACTCAGTGGAATCGATCTGCACCACACGCATCTTCCCGTCGCGGTCCAGGCAGTACACAGCACCGGCCTCCACCTTGGTGATATACACGGGCACGTCGAGGGTTCGGATGATGCCGCTGTCGCCGTTGGGGAGGCAGTACTTGAGGTGGTTCAGAGTGGTGTAGATGAACACGCCCGAGTCGTCCCACCCTCCGCTCTTCACGCGGATCGTCTCGTGCACCGTGCAGCGGTGCGCCAGGCGCTTGTTCGCGATGATGATCGCGTGCTTGGACAGCAGTGCCACGTGGTTCATATCCGCCGACCAAACCACATACTTCACAAACGGAGTCGTCAGCTCCGCAATCGCAGCCCGCTGCTGCACGTCAAACAGAACGACCTTATCGTCGGAGCGGCAGAGCAGAGACCCAGTGCCAGCGTAGAAAATCGCGTCCGTGGAGGCGACAGGCGGGGGGCACTTCTTGGTGACCTCGTTGCGCAGGTTCTTAATCACGATCTGGTCGTGGCTCTTGTCCAGCACAGCAAACCTGTTCCGCGCCACAAACACAGCGGACGTCCCCGCGCCCCGCTTCGCCTCTGGCGCTTCCGCCGCGCCGCCCCCACGCCCGGCGTCCTTGGGAACGGTGTACAGCTCGTAGCTGCCGCCGTCCGCATCGGAGCAGATCAGAACGGAGTTCTCCGCGGGGTTGTAAGAAAGCGCGCGCGGGCCCTGGTTGCTGCCCGTGGTGCCCGGGCGGCGGATGGAGATGAGTGGGTTATCGCGGCCAGAGCCAAACTCGTACGTGCGGATGTAACGGTCCTTGACATAGTACAGGATGTTGCCGTGGACGGCATACGCAGGGCGCTCGCGCTCCAGCTTGAAGACGATCATGCCGCTGTCGTGCCCCGCGGCCAGGAGGTTCATTTCGGGGTGCGCGGCGAGGATCCAGAAGCGGTCGTGCTCGCGGCGGAAGGACTGCGCGCTGGTGCGCTTGGACATGTCCCACACGCGGATGCTCTTGTCCTCGGAGTTGGACACGATGATGTCCTGGCGCGCGTGGAAGAGAACGCATGAGACGTTGTTCACGTGCCCGCGCAGCGTGTCCACCTCCCACGCCTTGGTGTCTGTAAGGGCGGCGGGCGGAGCGGGGAAAATACATGGTGGCGAACGGGATGGGACAGCGAAGGCAGCGCGAAGGGAGAGGGAAGGAAGAGCGGACAGGCAGCGTCGGTGATGAGGTTGAGCGGGAAGCAAGAAGTACGATTTCCTTCATGTCATGCGAATTCAAAGACAGCGCGGCTCTTCTCTGCACAAGGCGCGGGACCCGATCTCCCTCGCTCCGACTCACCGTTCATGCGCCACAGCTTCACTTGACGGTCGTCAGCGCCGGAGACGATGAGCGGCAGCGAGGGGTGGAACGCGGCCCAGTTGACCCCGCGGTCGTGCCCCTCCAGCACGTGCTTGACCACCGCGTCCCCTCCGCCGAACAGATCGGAGTTCATCTGCGGCAGGCGCACCACGTCCTCCGACGGCGCAACGGACTTCTTGCGCAGCGCGCCGATGTCCCACACGCGCACGGTCTGGTCGAGCGAGGCCGACACGACGAGATCCTCCTTGGGGTGGAAGGCGGCGCACATGACGTAGTGGTTGTGACCTGTGAGCACGGAGATGCAGTTGCGCGACTGCCAGTTCCAGATGCGGATCGTCTGGTCATCGCTGGCGCTCACGATCCACGGGTATTCCTGATGGAATTGGACGGTGCGGATGTAGTCCAGGTGGCCCAGCAGCGTGAAGAGGCAACGGCGGGTCTTGTAGTTCCACACCTTGATCTTGTAATCATCGCCTGCGGAAATTGGAAGATAAGAGGCGGACATGGATAAAAGTCATCAGGAGCGAATGATGCGGGGACGTTTGGTTAGGAACGTGCAAACGATAGGGCAAGCTGTACAGGAGTCTAAAATAAAACTGCCCTGCACGATCACAACTAGAAACTATCCGTTAGGTCAGAGTACAATGTTATGCATCGCCCCGTCTCTAAATCCACTCCACTGGAGAAAACCACATGCGCAGTGAGAGACGAAGGACCCTAAAGCCATCGGCCCAGCAAGACTGCCACGGATTAGCCTAGATCCCCAAATTCTACTGATATATATGTTAGACGTATTTAAAATGAAACAAGCGATCGTAAAGGCATTGGCTTTACCAGTGTGGTACTGAGTAAAGGAAAAATAAGGCGTTGACCAGATCCGCGAATACAACAGCTATAGAATCATGTACGACGATAATGAGCCGATAACTAGCATTGATAAGAAACAAATAAATATAGAAACGACTGAAGTAAGGAATCATCGGCGTGAAGACCGCCTTGACCATTCTACGAATCCATGCCCAAAAATTCATTCACGGAAGCTCTGCAACGATGCGCACAAAAACAACGAGACGCCGGCCATAGACATAAGGATGATTAGGGTTGACATTCGCACCTCCTGAGACGAAAAGCGGTTGAGTCTTGTGAAAATGGACTCCCCGAACAGGACCATCATGCTCATCAAATCTGTCAATCAACGTTCCCATCCGGTAGTCCCATAGTTGAATCACACCGCTGTGCAAACTGGCCAGGATCCATGGCCGACGGGGGTGAAACGACAACCCCTTCACTCGATTGCTCTTAGTTTCAAACTTCGTCAACATTTCGCCACCCTGCGTGGCCTAGCAGGCCTCCTACCACAGGAAGATCAACAGAAACCACGAGCGATTGATCCACGACCAGGCAGACCTAAGCTTAGACTGACTGCTGAAGGATTCAGGCGGAGTAGCTTAGATCTCTGTCAATCCAGGCGTGCCTGGATTTCATCAGTGTGGAAAGTAATTCGAGGGGTCCCTTGGATGGAGGTTTGGTGGTGTGCGATGAGATCTGGGGTGGAACGGGGGGGACTTGTGTGCTCTGACAGGGAAGAAAGCGTGATCCCTCCCCGCCGAAGCTGCGACAGCGTGCGATGTACGAGGGTTTCTTACCTTTCGCATGTGGGTCACGAAGTGCTGTAACGTCGCTAGCCTTCCGTAAGAGCTCTAACGGACAAGCGTGTACCTTTACAATCAGGCTCCATACATGTTTGAAATCTGTCAAATGATGGATAAGTGACTTAAGATAGAAATAAGTCCAAAACGAATCTCTCTTGATTGTTGCATAACGCTTCTATCCAAATGCACATCTTGTGAAATTGGATGTACACATTTTGTTACGAATAGTAAAAGATGAAGCATCACTATGCACTCCTTACCGCAGCAATCGAAACACGCACTACCGAGGCTGAAGACGAAAAGACGGGAGTGACGCGAAGGGTCGTACGGTTACGAAAGGATCTGGACCGTCGGGCAGACAGCATGGCAGCAGCAGTGGCAAGGATTCTGCCCAGGCAGTTCGTAACCGTCTGGAGTCGCACTGTTGAGTTTCGCTGCAATAAGGGAATGTACCCCTTAGAGTACATGGCTAGCCTAGGTCGATTCGAATTCCCTTGTACTCTTATTTATATTCCTGTACTTGCATGTTTTTATTATCTCAAGCATTTTACATCCACTATGATATTGAGGTCAAGGGCCCACCACCACTACTCAGACGTGTGCGAACCTTCCTGAGGTGATCCTAGGGACGATCAACACTTGATCGCAGCATGGTATCAGAGCGACTCGGGAATCCTTCGTATTGCCACCTCCGAAATCTTCGGCAAACGGAAAGTGGCGTCCGGCACACGCTCGCGTGTGAGAATGGCCGGACGATCTGGTGGTCAGACGAATCTGACGGCTGAAGTGCAGCCCAACCCGGCTGCGACAAGCGAGGAAACGACAACGATTTGAACCGCCGCCCTCGCACAGATGCTTCAGCGACTCACCAGCCTGGAGCAACAACTCCAAACATTGCGGAATGGCGACAGGGAACATCTTCCCAACCCACTCAACCGGCCTCGAATGGCCACAATACCGCTCCGCATACCTTCTCCCTCGACACAAATGGCTCAACACCCAAGACTCCCCGTCCCAGCGAAGAAGCAATTCTCTCTGCGCAATCAAAGTTTTTGAGCATATCAAAAATAAAGACTAGTGTGTGTTTTGACGGCAGAGACTTCTATACGTGGAGCTTCGAGCTGCAACTACTGCTGCAAAACGCGCAGATATTTCACTAATTCGACGGGAGCTACTCGGGACCCGCTGAGGATACTGCTGACGCCCGGGCGCAGTACTACAACGAGTCGTTGATGGCGTATGGCGTCCTCCTGTGGAATATGTCGCCGGCGGAGCAGTTGAGCATTCGTTCGTACAAGACGACTCCTGCTCTAGCCCTCGATGCTTGGCGCCACCTGAACGGCGTATACCAACCGAAAGACTTGGTTTCATCTGTCAGAAATGAGAAGTGATTGAACTAGGAACATTGAGAGTACAAGTAGGAAACCCTAGAGTATTGTACCCCCTAAAGGCTAACCCACTGTAGCCTACACAGCAGTAACATATATAATGTTTGACACACCCCCATAGGCGAAGTGGGGGAGAGCAAGGGGGTCACAAGACCAGTCAAAGCAAAGCAAAACAAGCTCAGGGTGGATCTCAAGGATACCACACAAATTCCGAGCACAAGCAAGCGGTCACAAGACCAGTTCACATGCAGTTTGATAATATAACAAGAGGTACAGTGATCACAACCTAGCAAGTGTAAGCATGCAGGTATAAATATAGAGATCACAGTACAAGCAGAGTCAAGAAGTGAGCAAGTGAGGGACAATAGGCACAAGGCCTAGAACAGTACAGAAACGCTGATGATCACAAGGCTGAAGCGCCTTGGTGAACACATCAGCAGTGTTGGCCCGAGTGGCCACGTAAGCAAGACGAAGCTGACCACGCTGCTGCAACTCTCGAGCAAGGAAGTAGCGCAGAGCAATGTGCTTCGTTCTGTGCTCCAGTCTATGCTCCTGACACAAGGCAATGGCGGCCTTGTTGTCGACGTACAGCACTGGAGGAGAACGAGGCCGCTCTCCCAGGTCGGTCAGCAGGTAGGTGAGCCAGCGTAACTCCTGTGCAGCCATGGCTGTGGCGTAGATCTCAGCCTCACAACTGGAGCTGAGAACTGAAGACGAGCGTGTAGAACGCCAAGAAACTGAAGAGCCAAGGCTGAAGGTGTAACCCTGAGACGACCGCTGTGTAGCCTGGTCGTCACCCCAAGAAGCGTCTGAGTGCCCAGTGAGGACAACGTCGCTCCGTCCTCCAAGCACAAGCCCCATGCCCGACGTACTGCACAAGTAGCGCAACACCCTCTTAGCGGCATCCATGTGCTCCTTCCGGTGACGGCCAGGAGCGACATAGCGTGCTAGGATGCTAAGAGGGTATGCAAGGTCAGGTCGAGTGCAGGTCATCAGGTACATGAGGCAGCCCACAAGCTCTGGATACGGGCCACTCGGCTCTACGGACTCATCCGAAGGCAGAGCTGAGAGCGAGTGACCGGTAGGCAGAGGAGTGGGCTGAGGCGAGGAGTATGTGAAGCGGAAGCGCTGAAGGACCTGCTGCACCATGTGTGACTGAGTCAAGGTGATGGTGCGCTGTGCTTTGTCCCGGGTGATCCGCAAGCCAAGATAGCTTGTCAGCTCACCCAGGTCTGTGCACGTGTGTCTCTTCTGTAGCTCCGACTTCACGTGGGCGAGTGCCTCAGTGTCAGCAGTAGCAAAGACCAAGTCGTCTACGTACACGAGAACGTAGAACGGCGGCAGAGTGGTGTCGGTGCGTAGAAACAGCGACGGGTCAGCAGTAGAAGGAGCAAACCCAAGAGCAGCAAGAGTAGTCCTCAGTGTGTCGTGCCACTCACGGGGTGCCTGGCGGAGACCGTAGACTGGCCGCCGGAGGCTCCACTGGGTACCAGCAGGGAACGACCCAGTGAAGCCAGGTGGGCGGCGCAGCCAGATCTCCTCGTGCAGGCTGCCCTGTAGGAAAGCAGTGCTGAAGTCAAGAGAGTGGAGCTCGTAGTCACGCTGAGCGGCGACGTGCAGCAGAACCCGAAGAGTGGTCATCTTCGGGGTCGGGGAGAAGGTCTGGAAGAAGTCAACTCCCTCTCGCTGACTGAAGCCTCGTGTAACGTAACGCGCCTTGAAGACAGGCGGAGAACCCGGCGGCCGCTTCACCCTGAAAATCCACATGCTACTGACGATGTTCGCCCCAGGTGGGGGAACCTCGTCGACGTAGGTGCCTGTGGACTTCCAGGAAGCCATCTCTGCGTCCATGGCTGTCTGCCACTGAGAGGAGTAGGGACCCTCTATCGCCTCTGCGTAAGAGCGCGGGGTCGGGATGTCTGGTGCATCCGGGTCTCCCTCAGGGGCAATCAGCATGGACACGAGATGAGGTAAAGCAGCGGCAAAGCACTCAAACTCCTCCTGTCTGTCCTCAAGGACGTCCGTGCCAAGAGCACACTCACCCTCGACGGACGGAGGACAGACAGACTCAGACTCAGCAACAAGGCTAGCGGCGTAGTCTAGACGACAGGCGGCAGCAAAGTCAACAAGCTCAGCAACTAGAGCAGATGCAGCAGTGGACTCAAAGGAAGGGTCAGTGACAACAGTAGCGAGAAGACGCATGACAGTAGGACTGGCAGCACGAGCAAGGTCTGACGGCGGGTCAGCAACGTCAGGAAGAGAGGACGCAGGAGGAGACGGTAGAGGGACACGCTGAGGAGCAGTGGAAGGACGCAGAGTCATATAGTGTGTGCCAAGTACAGGAGGAGGACGCTGACGCGGAGCACGACGACCAGTGCGGACAGCGCGGACAGACGACTCTGGACGAGACTCAGGCAACTCAGGACGAGACTCAGGCGACGCAGGACGAGACTCAGGCTCACGACGCTCCGTAAGACCTCTAGTCGGCCCAGCGTAAGGAGAAGGACCAGGCAGTGGAGAGGCAAGCGGTAACTGTGACTGGACAGGTGGTGGACTCAGTAGGGGAGGAGAAGGACCAGTGGAGGGCGGGAGGCCAAGAACCTGCTGAAGGAGCGGAACGTAGTACGGTCGCGGCCGCTCAGCACCTCCTGAACCAGCAGAGACAGCACCAGCACCCTCAGCCCCAGGGTCTCCAGCGACAACTCCCGCAGCACCACCAGTAACCCCAGCAGCTCCAGTACCTCCAGCTCCAACCCCCGCAGCAGCTCCAGTCCCAGCAGCTCCAGTACCTCCAGTACGAGCACCTCCAGAACCAGCGGCTCCAGCAGCTCCAGCACCAGCAGCACCTCCAGCAGCACCTGCACCAGCAGCACCTCCAGCAGCACCAGCAGCACCTCCAGCACCAGCAGCGCCTCCAGTAGCTCCAGCACCAGCAGCACCTCCAGCACCAGCAGTGCCTCCAGCAGCTTCAGCACCAGCAGCACCTCTAGCAGCACCTGCACCAGCAGCACCTCCAGCAGCACCAGCAGCACCTCCAGCACCAGCAGCGCCTCCAGCAGCTCCAGCACCAGCAGCACCTCCAGCACCAGCAGTACTACCAGCAGCACCACCAGCAGCTCCTGCACCAGCAGCACCAGCACCAGCAGCAGCTCCAGCTCCAGGGTC